AGACCAGCCACCTCAGTTTTCATAATAAAAACAATGTTCAAGTCCTCATTGGACTATCCTAAATAGTAGCTCACCTGTAGTTGTAAATCTTCAGGACGGTTAACAGCTTGTTCAGACCGTCGTTTCAGAGAACTGGTGCATAATGCCACCTCCCCAGCCAGCATTTTTACTTGTTCACGAAGAAGATCCATTTGATCAGTTATTGTGCTCCCAGTCTGCAAAATAGTCACTTGGAATATTTATGTCAGATTAATCCATTTCGTAAAATACATAAACATCTTTCTGTTGCATTTTTCACTAGTAGCTGAGATCTCACCGGAGGAAGTTGACGACCTTTGGTAGTTCCACTAAACAAGTCACCGGCTTGGTTTCTTAAAGGAGATGAATTAAGAGCTAAAGCATTTTCTTTTGTGCTGATTGAATTCCTGCGTGGGTCTTTCACGTCACGAAGCATTACTTTATTTGGCATTTGTTTTGAAGATGATGCAGGGGTCCCATTTGTAGGGCTCTCGCCATCAGAATTTGGTGACCATCCCCCCTGATCAGGTTTCTGCAACGGAGACATATACAATTAGTTGACCAGGTCACCATAATCAGTTGCTAATACAGCCTCATAACATAAAGAGATCATTCTACCTAATACTGGTTATTGTTTAATCAGAGCCTTAATCTTAAGATGGGTATAACTAATAAAGGGGAGTCATTAGTGACGCTGTAGGTAGAGGAACTTGTTAAGTCTTTTCTGTTAGTAACCATACTGTTTGGTATTAATTCTTAACATGATGAATCATCAAATTTCTACTTTCAAATGAACAGAAAAATAACTTACTCTCAGCTTGAACCAGCCAAGCATTCCCCGTCTTTTGTTCCTTTTATAATCCCTCATCAGCTCATCTAAGTAACATCATCCTTTCCTTCCACTGAAGGCTCTGAAGCGTGGCTTCCAGCATCATCCTCAGTCAAAATATCACGTTTTCTATCTGGAAGATATGCTAACTGTAATAACGAGAACAAGCAGTTGACTTCATTACTTTTCATTCCAAGTTACTGAATTCATATTGCAAAACAACAGATCACTTGAACTATATCAGATCACCTAGCACAAAGCAGATAACTGACTGCATCACCATACGGGGTAACATGCTAAAACAGTAAAACATACCTCATCTTCCCCAAAAGAATGCCTGCGCCTATGGCTAGGCCTTTCAGGAATGTTTGAAGACATTGCAGTCTTTGTGGAAACCAGTATTAGTTTGGTGAGTCGCTGAATTCTTCCCATCAAAGCTGCTTTAGACTGTTCCTCCTCTTCCAATCTTGACTGCAATTTGAACTGGCCAGCTTCCAGCTTTACATCATGATGTAAGCTTTCATTAATGGCAAGTGAAATAAACAATACGCGAATCAAACATAATGTGCAATGAGTAAACCAAACACTACGTTCCCAGTGGATCAAAAATCAAGACAACATATTATTCTAGGCTTCTTCCACATTATAAAGTTGCCACTAACCCTATGTTTGGACGGAAAGAAAAGTAGGGAGAGGAGAAAACAGGAGGAAAAATGTATTTTGCCTTGTTTGGATAGCAAGAGAAAATAAGGAAAGAAAAGTTGAGGAGAAAAAGGCATGGGGTCCACATGTTTTTTTCCTATAAGTCTTCTCTTCAGACAGAGAGATTTTGGAAAGCAAACATGCTTTTCAAAGCTGCCGTGAAGGAGAGAAAAAGGGACATGAGCCCACATCATTTTCATATGGGTATTACTATCATTGTAAAATCAGTCTCTTTTTCTTCTTTTATATTTTCTCCTGCTCATCCCAACATAAGGAGAGAACATTTTCTCTTCACTTTTATCTTCCCTCCATTTTCCCTCCTCCCATTTTCCCTTCGCATCCAAACAAAGCATAAGTGACAAAGTCTCTTATGCATTTCACGATATATGCAACAGTACAAACCTGAAGCTTCAAATTAACCAGATCTTCTTGTGAAGATACAGCAGCATTGGGATTCTCCAATATACCACGCTTCAACTGCTGAAGCTCCTGCTTTAAATCATGAATTTCCTTCTGATATTTTTTGATCAGAGACTTCTCATCGATAATCTAAGGCAAGAAAAGCAATAAAAATTAACAGAATGAAGTCACAGTGCTAGGGAATATCCTATTATTAACAGCCACATGATATTACCTTGTTTTGAGAAGCCTTGATTTCAACATGCTTACTTCGAGATGCAAACTTCAACGTGTTGTGTGTCTCTTCACTACTGCTAGAGGCAGGCGTAACAGTGCAGATGAGCTTCAGCAACCAAGGAATAGCAGGTCATTTCAAGCATTAGCTAACCTCAACAATTTACAAAAAATAAACGACCAGCAGAATTTTAAAAAGTTGCTTATTGGGGGGGGGGGGGAATTAGCAAGCCTGATATTGAACTAACAGAAATCTGTCCATGACCACTGAGGGACGATTGTAACAAACGAGTAAGTTTTGAATCTCGATATGGAATATGAGTTGCCTTTCCATCTGTTAATTTAGAAATAACCTGCAAAACAGAAAGACAGAAGACCAGGAAGAGATTTTATTTACTTCACCGGACATAACTTGTGAATGGGACTTCAGAAACCATAAGAATTAGAAACAACAGCACATCCAATGAACTGCTTCAAAAATGCAGTGCAAATTACATTCTGACACTGCATAACAGGAAAAAATTCAACCAAGAACATTTATTTAATATCCCCCAGTCGGCATTCTCAATAAGACGCACTCCACTGTCCCCAAGACTGTGAGACATGGGGACACACCCCACCAATAATGCATCAGGGCCAAATATAAGTGTGTTCAAAGGCTAATTAAGGATTGTCAAAAAGTCAAATATAAAACACAAGAACCAATTATCCCAAACACTACTGCCACTTTAAAAAAAAAAAAAAAAATTTAATCACGTTCCACATTGATAAAAAAGTAAGCACAGAACACAATGTTCACAACTATCAGTTGAAAGTGCATACAACCCCGTATATCTTATAATAGATCAAGAGTTAGACTAACAACTATAAAGGTAGAATTAAATTATGGTGAAAAGAGAGCAGAAAAAGAGTAGATAAGTATTACCGTTCCAAGAGTAAGCAAACTTTTATTAATATATGAACCCTCTTTCCTTCGCAACCCAGTTGTTTCAGCTTTAGAGCTTTCAGACCCTGCAAGGTCAATTAAGTGCTGGAAAGGAGGAAGGTTTGAATTCAATTAAGCGCCTAAAACTAGTCAAACTATGGATAGATGGCATATGCCGAGGCAGTATAGTGCACCATTGAGAATCATAATTTTACGTAAATAGCCTTACCAAATGGGACAGTGTCACATCTTCTTCCCCAGTGTTTTCCCCACGAGTACTGCTTTCTATAGTCTGATAGAAACGATGTACTCAGTAAAGTACATAAGCCAAATGAAATCAAAATAACAACTGGGTGCCATTTTATCCCCACCTCGTGGGATAAAACTTGTTGTTGTTGTTAGAAACATTACATTCAAAATGAATTAGATTTGACATGGTAGATCCACAGATGGAACTGAAATAATTCATGAAATACTAGGGTTAACATGCCACTAAAAGCTCAAGAATGCGCCTATTATGTTAAATTTAATTCATGAAGAAATGATATCATGCAGCAAGATAATTTATTTGAGGAAACATTAATTGTTAACAGCATGTTTAAAAGTTCAAAAATTGACTTTTCTCAACTTATGAGGGGCAATAATATACATTCAGATTTCAAGCATATGAAGATTACTTTGTAAGATTTGGCATACCAAGGTGAATATGGTGTGGCTTCGACTGCTAACCAGATTCAAATTATTAGAACCAACATGTCTGTGCTCTGGATTATTCAGAAAGAAGACATCAGAGAGAGGAAAAATTTGTCACGCTTCCATCAAAGTTATAGTGAAGCATGAAAAAAAAAGCATCAAGTAAAGAATTCTGGAGGAGAAATTTAGAGTTACGACAAACAAACAAACCAATGATACAAAAAGAAGCCAAAAAGAACATCAAAAAAAAGAAAAGGTTTATATATATACCTTCTCCTGTAGCAATCAAGGAAAGGGCATGAGCAGGGGATAGCACAACCTCCTCTTTGATTCCTTCAACATAAGTTCCCTGTCAACATTTTATATCTTGCACGCTCAGCTGAAGATCAATCAATTAATTCGAATTTAAGAAAACATGGATATATGTTATAATGCCAATGAAAACAAAACAAGGGGATAACAGAGTGTGCTCATTTAAAAGAAAAGAAATACAAAAGATTCCTACAACAGCTAAGTTGCTTTTATCACTAAGAGCAGATAATGAATAATGATAAACTTTGGACTTTCCCATATTGACATAAAGACCTGAGCATCTTCTCTTATTCTTAGGTTCTGCCCAGTAGGATCCAGCAAGTCATTAATGACCTAAACAAGAGCAGATAACAATGAGAAGCAATACCCATTTAAGTTAAAAATACTTATGAACAAGGATGCAGATAGGCATTGTTTGAACTACTATATTTGTTTCTCATCCATAAAGTATTCACAAAGGTGAGAAACATTAATTTAGTGTTTCATGGTTCTGACCTCATTATAAATCTCAAGATAAGACACGCGAAGTAGGAATTCTCGTGCTGGTGTCTGAAATTGACAAACAAGATTTGTCACCAAAGCCATAAGGTTTTACTGCTAAGTTGGAATTGAGGCCAAAAAATAGCCAAGATGAAAAGATCAACCCTTTACCTCTTGTATTATACAGAAGACGTCCTTCACTGCAAGTGGGATAATTCCAGGTGACTTCTGCTCGCCCTGGGAAATATATGAAACACTATTATTTTAGCATGAACAGAGGTCAATGGGTAGGATCAATTGTAGGATGAACCATCAGCTGCACTTTTGAGTTGCTAACCTTAGAAGTTAAACAATGCACTTAGGCTCAATGCCACATCAAGAGGGAAAATTGGACTTACATGCATGGTATGTGTCTTTCCACTGCTAGTAACACCATATGCGAATACAGTGCCTGCAAATAATAGAAACAACTGTAAGCAGATCACCTACCAGGGTTTATTATGTTTCAATAAGACCTAACAAGAAGCTCGAACTCCTCAAGAGTGAGATTGATCATCAATATGTATTGCAAGCAAACATATATTAAGCCAAACCTCAAACTTCATAGATCCAAACTTGGGACAAAGTCAGCCATGAGTACACGAAAATGGGAATAACAGAAAAAAAAATACTACCATTAATTCCTTCCATGGCACCGCTGACAACATGCTGAGCAGCCACGTCATATACATGCCGAGTAGTTGTTGCAGGCCCAAACACCTTATCTGCCACGCAAAATATTATTACAAATAATGTGAAAACATGGAACTACAAATCAAACCAGTAATATCTTGTTGAGCTATTCGGATAGGAAGTAATGTATGCTGTGGAATACAAGAATTTGAGAAAAGAAAAACAAGCAAGAAGAAGGAACGAGGTGGTGGAGCACGGAGAGCTGAATTGTTGGGTTCGTTTGCCACACTGGAAACTGCCAACAATCCGCACCCCACTCAATTGGAACAACTGAAAATGTAAAGAATCAAGCTTCTTATTTTGTGTCGTCGAAAGCTGAATATGTTACTATCAGAAGGCCATGAAGTGAACGACTTACCGAAGCCGTAGGCAACGGAAGGATTGTTCTCATTTCTCACTATATGATCCCCGTCTGCATACCAAGCTATCTCGTCTCCTTTATTAATTTCTCTGGCACTGCTCAAACACACATAAGGATTCAGAAGACACGCAAATAGAACAGAAAAGACTCGAGTTATGAATGATACCCGCCCCATGAATTCAAGCGAAAAACCAAGAAAACAACAGTGTGCAGCACCTGAGGGGTCGAAACCTGACGGTGACACTGACATTCTCCTTTGCCTTGCAAACCTCAGGACGATCAAGGTTTGACGGGCTTGGGCTGGCTGGAGAGATAGGCAATTTCGGTGAAGGTCTCGACGAAGTGGTCGAAGACGGAGAAGAGGGTCTCCCTGAGGATTTTGCGACCGGCGGCGGGGCAGAAGGGGCCTTCCGGGAACGAAAGGGAGAGATAGCGGAAGAGGCTCTCTGGGAACGGCTGTATCCCGCGGCAGACATTGATGGAGAAGAAGATGTGAAGTCTAAGTAAGAAGATTTTTTGTTTGCGAGAGGAACGAAGCACAGGTCACATGCCGGCCATTGTAGTGCAGTCTTTGGAGAATGCTCCTCCGCCACAACATTTCCTGCAGCTCCCTCCAAAACAAAACTAAATTTTATTTGGCGAGCATGTCTTCTGAGGCTAAGAAAGGTTTCTTTTTGTTTGAAATTTTAATTTTTTTGGCGCAAAATGTCAGAATTCAGGAACAGTGTGCACTGTACTAAACTAGTAATGGTGACTTTGTTTCTTTACGTGAGCGTCGCTGTTGGTCTTCTTGGGAGATGCGAGGTTCAGCCCATACTAGCTAAAGAAATCTGTTAATTTGTTAAACTAATGCCACCGTTTGTCTGTCATAAACAGAGGAATCGACGATTAGAAAAAAGAAATGGTTGTCTTGGCAAAATCGCGCCATTTGCTGGATCATTCTAATATGCGGACCCAAGTACCCAGCCAGCTCTGGCTCCAAAATCGATCTATTGTCTACTTGGCATGTTATATTCAAATAGGATCTAAAGTGCAACGTTATAGGAGTAGATTGGACGTCATGGTGGTGTTTTCTAAGATCAGAAGGTCGTTTTATGTCCAGTATGCGGGTTAAGAACTGGTCACTGCGCTTTGATACTTTAAAAGTCAAATCAAAATGGAAATGAATTAATATTCTGATTGATGAAAAAGAGGAGAAGGGTTATGTTTTTCGTCCATCCTCCCTCCTTGAAAAGGATCCCCCCATTTTTTGTTTGCGTTGAAAATGTTCATTTGAATTCGCTTTTCGTTGAGCCTCTGTAATGTATATTTTGCCTCTATAATTTTTCCTTTTCTCTTTTGAGTAAACTCGTTTTTCATACAGTACACATAGGTTCTCCGTTGAGAGACCTGGATCTCCAAGGTTATACCCTGTCAGAATTATAGGACGAGAACAAAAATAAGAATACAAATGCAAGGAATCGGAATCTTTTACATTTATGTAAGTTACACGTCCGATCTTTAATATAAGATCCATTTAACTAATTTGATTAGATTAAAGAAGTTAGGTAAATTAGTTAATTATAAGAAAAATGACATACTTTTCTTAAAACACCATTATCATCTTTCTTAATTCTTAATGCCTCCTCTCCTTCTTCTACTTAATTATGGTTGAGGAGTATCATAGGGATAATTTAGAGAAAATTGATAAATATAAAGAATGAGTTTTATATTTAGGACAAAAAACAACTCAAGAATTAGGTATTATATGAATGACCGGAAGAGTATATGTTATTGTTAACTGTGACGTTTTTTAAACAAAACGAGACTGCAACGAAATGTATATTAAATTTATAATTATAAATATCACAATATATTGTTATTTATTTTCAGTCCGCGCGCCCGTTTTGGAATTGCCATTTGGCGCCATCAACCTTGAGCGGGGACTTTTATCAAAATGCTACACACAGAAAAATAAATTAGATGCTACACTATGAAAAGTATTTTCCTAAATGCTACACTCAAACTCGTTCATCACAAGAACGAGTTCAAATTTTCAAAGAAGTCGTGCAAGGGAAGAACGAGTTTCATGTCTGATAATTTTTTTTCTAACAAGATCGAAACTCGTTCAAGGCATGAACGAGTTTAGCCTGTCAGAGCGTCTCAGTCCGCTTCTTCCTTTCCTCTTTCATTTCAGCAAAATTTACAAACAAAGACCCATACCATCAACACATTCTCCTTTTTCTTTAGACTTCGGAGAGAATTGCAGTTAATGACCCAACTCCTCCCCAACCACCCCTTTCGTTTTTTTCCTTTGCCCTTCAGTCTATATTTCCAAAAAATATGAATCAATTTTACTTTACATCCTAATCATTAAATTTTAAAAAATATATAAAATAAATTTATTGAATATAAATTATTTATCAATATGATATAATATATGCAAAATTTACACCTATTTAATATAGTCATTGGACAGATTGAAGGTCAAAGATTATGAGGGAATGAGTGGTGTTAAAAATTATTATAATTATGTACAACCGCCTTGTAGCATTCTTGTATATAAAATTTTTTTTAACAGAAATTATGTACATTTACAAATATTAGAAAAAACTTAGAAATTGATACCGGCTAAAATGATATCTTGTAAACAAATATTTACAATATATACTTAGATGCCGCATGCATCAAGACAGCCTTGTCATGATTTAATGACCATTTATTTATATTAATAATCCAAACACGTTTAATTTTTAGCTGATGGACAAATTCAAAGTTAGATTATAAATATTGTTAAAATTTATACTCCTATTTAATAATTACACATCTAAAAGTGATATATTTTGATTTATCACATATCTAAACAGGTTGCAATATGCTAAATTAAACTGACTTTTTTTTAAAAAGAATTCAAATATAAATTATAATAGTATTTCAATAAACTTATGTTTGGTTAAATTTAAACTTGCAAATTTTAAACCAAACACTTGCATGTTATGTTTTTTTTTCCATAAATTGTTCCATAAATGTACATAATTTCTGTTAAAAAAATTTTTATATACAAGAATGCTACAAGGCGGTTGTACATAATTATTTGTGTTTAATTTTAATAAATTTTAACACCACTCATTCCCTCATAATATTTGACCTTCAATCTGTCCAATGGCTATATTAAATAGGTGTAAATTTTGCATATATTATATCATATTGATAAATAATTTATATTCAATAAATTTATTTTATATATTTTTTAAAATTTAATTATTAGGATGTAAAGTAAAATTGATTCATATTTTTTGGAAATATAGACTGAAGGGCAAAGGAAAAAAACGAAAGCGGTGGTTGGGGAGGAGTTGGGTCATTAATTGCAATTCTCTCCGAAGTCTAAAGAAAAAGGAGAATGTGTTGATGGTATGGGTCTTTGTTTGTAAATTTTGCTGAAATGAAAGAGGAAAAGAAGAAGCGGACTGAGACGCTCTGACAGGCTAAACTCGTTCATGCCTTGAACGAGTTTCGATCTTGTTAAAAAAAAAAATTATCAGACATGAAACTCGTTCTTCCCTTAATGACTTTTTTGAAAATTTGAACTCGTTCTTGTGATGAGCGAGTTTGAGTGTAGCATTTAGGGAAATATTTTTTATAGTGTAGCATCATGGTAATTTATTTTACTATGTGTAGCATTTTGATAAAAATCCCACCTTGAGCGTCGTCGTTGGCCCAAAAAAAAAAAAAACTTGAGCTTCGTCTCTGAATTTCACTTCAGCTCCTGCTAAGAAAAAGCAAAGTGCAGCACTAACTATGGCGGAGACAACCTCTCCCATGCTCATTGACGACGATGATAACAACTTCTCTGCCATACCCAACAAGGGCAAAAGCGTGGTCGTTGCCGGCAATCCACCCGCCAGCAAGGATACTCCGTGGGTTGAAAAGTACCGCCCTAAATGCCTCGACGACGTTGCCGCACATCGCGACATTGTCGATACCAGTACGACTCAACGCCTCCTTTCCGTTCTCCTTTAAGCTCTAGGGTTTATGATACTGGTTGTGAAATTTATTGTCTTTTTCTGTTTTCTGGCCGAAACAATCTCAAAGAAAATTTCTTCCTTAACTGGCCCAATCCATAATTTTTTATGATTTATGGGATTAGATTTCCTAATCTGAGAAAAATTTGTCCCGTCCATTTTGTTTCTAGGGTTTTGCTCGTATTGCATAATTATCACCATGAAACATATATTTAAATCCTCATTGGAATTTTTGTTTGGATATCTTGGGTTGCTACCACATGGGAAGGGAGGAAGGGACTAGAGTGTAATTACCTAATCGCGTGTTATGTTACTGTATAATTTTTGTAGGAGTGATTCTGGTGTTTTCCTTTGTGTCTTTTTGCTCGGAAAGAAAGAGGATTTGTAATATGCTGCTATTATCATTGTCTGCTTCGAGTCCATATCTATCATAAGATTCTTACTCTCATCATGACTTCATTAGTTCTAGTTACTGACTCATTGTTTTTTACTCATTATTTGTTTGTTGTTCAATAGTTGATAGGCTGACTTCTGAGAACAGATTACCCCATCTTCTATTGTACGGCCCTCCAGGCACGGGCAAAACATCAACTATTCTTGCTGTGGCCCGCAAACTATATGGGGCACAATACCAAAACATGATTTTGGAGCTCAATGCATCAGATGACAGGGGAATTGATATCGTACGCCAACAGATACAAGATTTTGCTAGCACCCAGAGCTTCTCATTTGGGTTGTTTTCATTATCTGCATCCTACTTCTTGCTTAAATACTGTTCTGTATGGTTTTGATTTACTATTTTGTGTTTGGAGTAGAAATAATTCCTTTGTAGTGTGGTAAATGCCCTGATTCACAGTGTAAATATATATAATCAGCTGCCATCATGTGGAATATTTTGTGTTATATGAGGCGTGAATTGTTTTTCTGTGTCTTCTTTTGCACATTTGATTGTGAAAACTACATGTCATGGCATGACTATGATGCTGAAATTGCCAGTTTTTGGTCTTAGCTGATGAACGAATGGTCCTTGTTTTACAGAGTCAAGTCCTCTGTAAAGTTGGTCTTGTTAGATGAGGCAGATGCAATGACAAAGGATGCACAGTTTGCATTGCGTAGAGGTATAGCTACTGTCTGTATTGCAGAGCTAAAGCCATTTTGTTGTGTTATAATACCCTTCATCGTTTGTTGCAGTGATTGAGAAATATACAAAAAATACTAGGTTTGCACTCATCTGTAATCATGTAAACAAGATTATTCCAGCACTGCAATCAAGATGCACTCGATTTCGGTTTGCCCCTCTCGATGCTGTCCATATTACTGAGAGATTGAAGCATATTGTTAAGGCTGAAGGGTAAGTATCATCATCTCCGTTACCATATATGCATATTGGTATACAGCTGTCCTAAAGCTCTCATGAGGAAGGAAACTCACTGCTCTTCTGGGCTGCCAGTTCATTCTGGGGGAACTTTTTCAACAAATACTGTTTCTTCTTTGATAAGTATCTTGGAGGTTAGGGCAATGGGTGGAATAGTATGGGAAAATGTACTTTCGTACTTTCGTCATCATAGCATAGCAGACGCTGCTACTGCCATTTCATTTGATGTGATTACTACTTGTCCGCACATGATTGAAGTAACTTCCAATATGATGATTTCTGTTATGTAATTTTACTAGGCTTGATGTTACAGAAAGCGGTTTAGCAGCACTTGTTCGGCTCTGTAATGGAGATATGAGAAAGGCTTTGAACATTTTGCAGGTTGGATTTAAGAAGTAACTACAGCTGTTATATTTGATCAAATTTTATCTGGGAGTATTTCAGCAATCTACACCAAATTCTTGAATATCCTCAACCTCAAACCTAGTAGGCTATTTCTCCGTTTTTGATATTTAGGCATACTTCTATAGAACATGCTGTATTTGGACTTTGGAGTGTATATAGGAAATGGAGGAAAACTGAATATGATTGAATAAGCACCGAAGTTGATAGGGACATGGATTTGAAAACATAGCAACATGACAATTTAAGGCATCCAAATGTCTATCCAAATGCCTAGGACTCCTATCAACTTGCTACTGTGGAAATGATGTTATCAAAGGGTATGTTCTGGATTATTTGTACCAATGGATCCTTGATGACGCATTTTGTCGCTTCATGTTTGCAGTCAACGCATATGGCTTCTCAGCAGATAACAGAAGAAGCTGTTTATCTTTGTACTGGAAACCCATTACCCAAAGACATTGAGCAAATCTCTTATTGGCTTCTGAATGAACAATTTGCAGATAGTTTTAAAAGTATTAAGTTGATTTATTACTTCTTTTGATGTCATTTTTTTTTCATTTAATGTCACTAAGCAATTTACTTATATTTTGTTTGCATAACTTCCTATAGGAATATATGAAATCAAGACAAGAAAAGGATTGGCGCTGGTGGATATTGTGAGAGAGGTCACAACGTAAGCCTTATGCATCATGCCAACTGTTTAACTTCTTGACATTTCTTTTTATGATCTTGATTTCTCTGTATCGTTATCACAGGTTCGTTTTTAAGATTAAGATGCCCCCAAGCGTTCGAGTGCAGCTGGTGAATGATTTGGCTGACATAGAGTATGTATTCATGTCCTATTTTTCTGCGTACTATCTTCCTTTCCCCTAATTTGACAAATAGATGGCAACACTTGAAAGAAAGGTTACTCATATCTGAGCCACGCGTATTGTGATACTTTAGTCGCTCCCTTGCATTTTCCAGGATTAATTTATATTGGCCATCGATTATTTATATGCCTGAGATGATCGCTTATGATAATGGAGATGTCTGTTCATGCAGGTACAGATTGAGTTTTGGGTGCAATGATAAGCTGCAGCTGGGATCGGTTATTGCTTCTTTCACACGTGCTAGGTCTGCACTGGTTGCGGCTGCTAATTAACTTGAAAGCTTGGGATTGGTATTGCTATTACGTTCTTGGTTAGGGATGTTTGATACCGTCACTGTGATGGCAAGAATCTCAAGCTGTACAAAAAGAATTAATCTTTTAATATGGGATGAGTTGGCTCGCGTTTTGGAGGATGAGTCATTTCAAAATTTTAATGCAGCGGGTATTTTTGTCGACATATTCACTGCTGAATATATTCTACTTTATCATGGGTTTAGCCTTCTTACGGCTTCATCTAAATATATGCGATATCGGCCTCTCCAATCATCTGCGTTTTTTTCTTTTTAATCTCAGTCCCTGATGTCGTCGTTATCTTGGCGAATGAGGTATGTGACTACAAGCAAGCTTGGTTTGACAGTGAAAGCTCCGTGAAACCACGGGTACCTGAAAATGACCAAACTAGCCACGTTAAATATGCTAAATATCGTTCAAGTGCCTAATGCTACGTCTAAGCACCTGTGCCGCTGGGTCACTTGCGAAGGAATCAGGTTTTATCTGTTCTCAACAACATACCATAAACACTGATATATGAATTTGAGAATGCCCGTTTATGGATCATGGGATTCATAAAAATATGAATATGAAAGTAGCAAATTAGGGGCCGAGCTAACAGTATGGAAGAGGGGGGGGGGATTCAAAGTTCATCATAAGAACTCGTGAATATCGAATATTTTTTATAGCTTCGTAAAATAATACTTAAAATTGTTTTTTCTCTTAAATATAAAGGTTTATAAGAGGGTTACTTTCAGTAAATGATTATAATTTATATGGAAAATGAACTACGGGATATTAGTACAGTCCAAAGCTGGCTAGTGACACTCCATATATATATAGCAGCCTGCGTACGTACGTACAAGCTACTAGTATATATAAACATGGTCAGTCCCTCAGCTAGAGAGACGCGTCAACTTGCAAGCCCCCTTGCAGTTCAACGAAAAAATACAATGGACGCATAATAATGCTCCTGCTACGCTCAATATTCCCTCACATGCAGTTTCCACCTTCTTCCCCATCCATCCCAGTCTGTCTTTGGTGAAAACAATCACCTATGTACACGACCGCACAGACACACTCATGGACCTCCTTCTGTCTCGTGCTGCCGTGCGATGATGAAGCCACAGCAAATTTGCTTCCCTGCTGGATGCATCTATGATCACTCCATTACCATTCACTCAGAAGGGCTTCTGAAAGTACGTGAAAATATCCTGCAACGTCGACATCTGGTTATTGCTCTGCATCAACTGAGTCTGAGGCTCGAAACCATGGTTCATGGTGGCGCCCGCGTAATTATATGGGAACCCAACGTTCGTTTCCCATTCATTCCACTTGGGTTCGCTCTGCACCTCGCTCGCAAACTCCGGCGATACCACATGCTCGGAGCCGCCGCTCGACTCCGTGTGCAGCTTCGGGACTGAATCCGACTTGTCGAAGTACAAGTAATCGGTCACGGGAGGAGACGGAGCATGAGGAGGATGCCGGCCGGGAATACCAACACCACGAGACACATTTTCCGGCTTCTTGTCCTCGATTCCTGACCACTCAATTTTACGGCCGCCAGCAGCGGGATGTTTCTCGATGATGCCCTTCTTGTTGTATATTCGGCAAAGCACCCAATCATCCAGCTGCAAGATCACAGACACGGGATTCATTATTATGTCGGTAATCATATGCGTCCTCACAAAATGAAAATTCGGATTCCTCTAGCTACGTACAGGCCAAAGAGATAAAGACAAATATAATTTTCTTCAAGTAGAAAAGTAATAATGGGGCGCTAATAATTAGAATATTGGTATTGTTTATCAAGGAGACTATCTGGGCCCAAAACAATATGATACCGCTAGTTTGCGGGTGACGTCGTTATAACGTTTGAACTGGGGAAGGTTCATTTGGATCGTCCATTATTTGACATCGTTTTCACCAGCCGTCATTGGTGGACCTCGACGACTTATCACAGCCCGCAGCCTAAGATGCATGCGTGGCCCCGATGGCCAATGGATGATTCGAGGCAGCCAAACCCAAAATGGTCATTTCAAGGCAAGCCCCTCGGCACCCGGCCCCATGATGGAATGTCCGTTATGCCCCTACCTATATAGCTAATGTTGAAAAATCGAAAGGCGCGTATGGGATAACAGCACGTACCCTTAAGGTGCTGTTTGTGCGGGCAGAGCGATCCACGTCGGCCAGACGATACTCATGCATAATCCAATTGGTTTTCTCTCCTTTGGGCGCTTTCCCCGCGTAGAAAACCAGAGCCTTCTTGATCCCCACCGGTTTGGGGTGTCCGATGGGTTTATCGGCTCCGGTAGCCTTCCAGTAGCCAGTGCCGGCGGCACGGTTTGGTCTGGAACCGTTGGGATATTTGCGGTTCCTGGGCGAGAAGAAGTACCACTCCTTCTCTCCGTACAAAGCCTTGCCTGCAAGGAGTTAACAATTCATCAATACCAGTTAAGTTGGGAATATACAGATATACAGACCGATGAGCAGAAGGAGAAGAGTACCGGGGAGGTCCCACGGGTCGTACTGGTAAAGGTCGACTTCGGCGATGATGGGAACGGAGAGGGGGCGGGAGGCAGACTTAGGGCAGAGATAGTGCAAGACGAGCTCGTCGTCGGTGGGATGGAATCGGAAGCCGGGGGGCAAGTGAAGCTGTGCGGCTGCGGCCATATTGGTGAAGGTTGAAACTCGAAACAAAGGGGAGGGGAGGGTATATATAGGACAGGAAGGAAGGTGGGGGGAACACGTGGGAGATAGGCAGGGGGGTGGTGAGGGAGGTCAGGTCAACACGTGGCGGGGAAGGAAGTGAGGGGAGAGTGCATGTGCGTATAGCCCACATGATTTGGTCACTGCTTACGTAGGCCGCAGAAACGGATGGAACATGAAATGAAAGTCGTGGAATAGTGTGGAGCTAGCCCGGGGAGGATGTTATGTGATCACCCCAAATCATGATAATTAATCCACAGCCACTTTTAGTTTTTTTCTTTTTCCTTTTTTGGGGGTGGCTGACAGGCTGAGTCACTATATAGCCAGTACGTTGAACAGTATGGGGGGACCTTGAGAGGTTAAAAACCACATGAGCAAGGGGATTTTACGCTAAAGTGGTGTTGTGGGATGAAGTTATAATTTCACAGAAGGTAAAGACCACAAGGGAGGATGTGGATGTGGATGAAGATGAGATGGAGGGTGCCGCCTCACTTTCGGTGTTGGGTTGTTGCTAGCGTTGGGAACTGTGGGAGATAAGAGTTCAGAAATCGCACCTTGCCCCGTCCACATAACACTTTATGATGGGGGTTTCCGGCGAATGTAACCCGAGGGGGACGGCTTTCAATTTCCACTACTCCCATTTCCCCCCTTTATTCTATTCCTTTATCCTATAGCTTTTGCCCCCCGCCGAAATTCCCATGCCCTATCTACTTCTCTTCCCCCCCCCCCCCGCCCCCGCCCCCGCCCCCGCCCCCGCCTTTAATTTTTGGTTCAATTTTTATTGCTCCTTCAAATTAATTTCATTCCTTTCAAAACAATCATCACACCATCTCTTGTATTACTACTAAATACGCGTTGATGAATGGCCCCTGATTTACATGCTTCACTGTTGTGCTTGTGAAGGGCAGCCGTTTTATATATGTTCATATAAAGTTCATACCGGGAAAGAAAATGCGTAGCCGTTTTAATTGCGCCCCCACAAGCCGTTTTATCCGCGGCCCCTACACCCGCATGTATCAACTGATTGACATCGACAATAGGAGGCGTGAGTGAAATTAGGTGGTGAAAGGAAATGTGATGGTCGTAATCAGAATAGAGTAGTCGCAACTACTATTTTCGAACCTAAATATAAAAACTAGTTCATTAATTTGAAAACATTAAGAAAATAAGTTAACTTAGTTATTTGTAATAAATAGGTATTGTCTTTCTTAAAATATCTTTACTAATCAATTAATATTAGTTAGAACTACTATCATTAAAAGGACTACCTTAGAAAAAATATACAAATGTGAGAGACAAAACGAATTGAAATTTTATATTTAAAACTAAAATAAAAATCAAACGAAGATTTATATTAAGTACCGGAGGTAGTAGTTGCTCTGCAACAATTCAACGCACATGCACTTCAACTCATCCAGCCATCCCCATCCCGTGTCTGCAAGGAATGCTTTCACCCTCGCAATCATATGTCGGTAGAAAAAGACGACGCCAAACTCACCAATGTCATTAGCCCGGTCGATGCGTTTTACTACTATTATTATACCATCAGTGAACAACATAACTTTAGAGTTAGTGGGGAACATCTTTTACCCGTATTAAAAAGAAGTATAATAATTAAAGAGCTTTGCTGTGTCATTCATGATTAAACCAGAACTGGCACGGTTCATGGTAAAGAAGATGATTTTGGGGCGTAATCAATCACGCGAACACTAATAAACCCACTAAACTTGGACCTAATCAAAAAGGAGGCAGGCTAATGGGTTGGCTTGACCTTTGGTTTCAATTGCTGAAGATTCTTTCGTTCATTCCCAATGATAATGTTCATCTGAGAGATGCCGATGCGTTTGGCATCATGTCTAAATGAATTGAACACGTTGGTGTTTCCGGCTGGTGCTTTTGTTTTTACCCAAACACAACTTTGGTGAAAGCGCCACTATATCTAGAAAGAGGAACTTTAAAGGAAAAAGAGAAGAGGCGCCAACATCCATGGTAGTGTGCCGTCAATTTTTTCTGAGCTGCAAAACTCTAATTCTGGAAGGATTATAAAGGGTGTACTATATATAGCCGCCATAAAAGCCTCAAATTACCACTTGCTTTCACATTATATTGTTCCTTTTTTATTCGCTGTTTAGCAACTTCAATCGTAAAAGCAAACATGGCGTTGTGTTGTTCATCAAAGCTTAAAAGCTCTCTTATTACTTGTTCTATATATTCTCCTATCAGTTATTTTGTCAACAACTATAATGAACATGACTTCTTGACTTCTGGATTTTAATTGGTCTTAGCCTGAATGTGATTGATTATAACTTGACCGACATAGCGCGCGGTAATGAGTGCCACCGAAAATGTTTATAAAATTGCTTCAATTCATTCCGCTTTTCATTAATTAGTTAGTTAGTTCGTTAATTTTGTGGTAAATATGATTTTTTATTTAAATTAAAAGTGACTTTGGACTATAGGAAGTCGACGTTGTTAACAAATTTCCGCTACATAAGATACTGCGGAAGGCAGGAGATCCGAAGACTTGCAGCAACTTGTGTGCTGCTGCATGCGTATTTTGAGATACGAAAATATCTTCTTTCTTAATGATCACGCCAAATATTAGAAAAACATACCCCTCCGGTCCTTAATATAGGACCTAATTGTTAAGTTAGTTTTGGTCCTAAATATAAGACTTATTTCTCATATTTATCAGTTTTCTCTAAATTACCCCTATAGATACTCCCTCAACCATAATCAAGTGGAAGAGATACAGGGGTATTAAGAAAGATAATTATAGTATTTTAGGAAAAATATGTCATTTTTTTTTATAATTAACTAACTTACATAACTTTCTTAATATAATCAAATTAGTTAAATGGATCTTATATTAAGGACCGGATAAGTAATATATTATTCTTTCTCTGGAAGTTGGAGTTTTATTATTGAACTTAAGCCCTTTTCGCAAGTTGCAGCCTGACAGCCTCCATAGACACAGGAAGCACAGCACATTTTCATGTGTGCTCTTCAAACAGATACTAATGAGCAAAACCAACATGTGCAGCTTATTATCTTAGGTGATATGTATTTAGATAACCATTGAGACATAATCTCTGAATAGCAAATGGGAAACCCTTCATGCGGATATAGATATAGTATTAAATTAAAATGGTGAAATAATGTTATACAAATACTCCTCTGATCCTTAATATAAGACCCATTTAACTAATTTGATTAGATTAAGGAAGTTAAGTAAGTTAGTTAATTATAAGAAAAATGATACATTTTTTCTAAAACACCATAATCATCTTTCTTAATACCCCTTCTCTTTCTTCTATTTGATTATGATTGATGAAGTATCCATAGGTGTATTTTAGAGAAAATTGATAAATATAAGAAATGGGCCTTATATTTAGAACCAAAACGAACTTAAAAATTGGATCATATATTAAAAACCGGAGGAGTACATTTCAGTGAGGATGGAGTACGTTCAGCCGCACAATAAACACTCTCTCAGCAGTTTAATTAATGAGAACAGAACATGAATATTATGTAAATACTCTTACTAACACCAACTGTAAAAACCACTTTAAAACTCCTGTTGAAGGGTTTTTCCATATAAACTTTCCAAACGTGCGCTTAATACGAGTGATATGTATACGCGCGCGCGCGTCTTTTTCACGTATGTAAATAATGAGTTTCATCCTCGACGATGCTGGAACCTAGCCATGTAGTAAAATTCTTTCTTATAACAGCTTAATAAGAACACATTGATTTCTCCGCAAATTTTATTCCATATCTTAATTCTGAAATGAAGCAAGTGTTCGCGGAAAAGGGAAACTCAAACAGAAGGAAAAAACCCAAAAAAAAAACAAGGGAAAATGTACCGGGGGCAATTAATTGATGAATATTATAATATTAGACGATAATCTAACAATTATGGGGTAGAAATCGCGTTCTGGTCAAAAAAAAAAAAGGGGTAGAAATCGCGTGCAAACAAATACAGAAATAAGTAACACATAAAGAATATTAAATTGTGTTTTTAACATTAAATTTCTGTGACTACCCATTTTCCATGTAATGTTCTGATAGCTTTGCTGCTTCTTATTCTTATTTTCTGAAATATAGACATTTGCAAATTACCTATGTGGTGCAATCAAGGGTTCTTATTAGCCAGTTTTGGAGTGGAGACCTCAGAGCCACAAATTGGACAAACCTTCTTAATCTGAAGCCACTGGATGATGCAATCTGAATGATAAGGGTGCTCACAATGAAGTGCCATCAGTGCTTCACCTTCTTCGTATTCAACCTGACATATCACACAGCGATCTATTCCTGTCTTTTTTTCTGCAAAATGGCAAGTGTAAGGATGCAGGCAGGAAGGGATTTCATTTGCTGACAGTCCTTTCCTCTCTTCTCCTATGAACTCCGCCAACTCAATCAACTCTTCGTAGGACATTTCATCCGGATCAATCTCATCTTCTTCCATGTCCTCATCATTGCTTCCTTCGCCCTCAAGAAACTGAAGGTCTCCGAATTCGAGTTCTTGGCTCTCGGAAAAGTCAGCATCTTCATCTTCATCGTCTTCGAAAGAGGACTCGCTTTCATCTCCATTGCTGCTTTCTTCGCTGTCCATGGTGTCAAGCATTGTGAAGGTTCCCTCTTGCTCTTGCAAAGCGATTGCCAGGGTGAAATCAGAGTTAACTTGCTCGAGTTCAGTGTATGGGGTTTTGTGGGAAGACTGTTTGCCCTTTTCTGGTTCCATGTTGAAGGAAGAGGCGTTCCGCTGCAATTGACGCAAATGGCGGGTTGAGATCGAAGAACAGAGACGAAGCGACTTTGGTATTTGAGGGAATGACCGAGGGCACAATTTTTGAGAAACTTTCATGTCAAGTAATGGAAACCCTTTGTCATGGATTCTTAAGATTCTAGATTCTTGGCTGTCTCAAGGTTTCTCGCCGTGAAGTTACCAACAACGCCCACACACTTGGGACATTCTTCTTGGACAAGGCGGCTTTCGATCGAAGCAATAACAACACATCGTCCGTAAGTAGCATTATACCTTTGTACATAATCAAAGCCATCAATTGCCGTTGGCTGCTGCTTCGTTCTTAACCAGTTGTTTTAAATGGACTGCGTATTTGAGCTCCTATCATTTATTTCTACATGGCAATACAGTTCGTTAATTTCTTTCTTGCTTTCTTTTTTAAAAGTTCGTCAATGTCTTGAAACAAAGCATGTTATTGCTTTGCCCATTGTATCACAGAATCACGTACAAGTTCATCTTGCTGCCAACAAATCAACGCCCGATATCATTTTTCTCGGTGATTTCAGGAGAATTAAACATCTCCAGCAGCAATTGTTCAGACGTTTCTGGACACCTTATTCTTTGCCATCGAGGAAGAAAAAGAAACACCAATGCCCCTTCCCTCTTAATGGAACCATACCAAAATAAAAGGAAAATGATAAAAACTGCCCCTTATCACCGAGAAACGTGGTGACCACTCTATAGAAACTCTTCAATAATTTTCTATATTAAATTTATACGTCGAAGTATTTTAGTTTTATTTCAATATATTTTAGGTAAAATTTAGTGAACCAAACGCAACTATAGGCGCATCAGCTGAGACAGTAGTGGAAATTTCGTCTTTACCCCGCAGGTAAGACAACGGCTCTGTTAGTTGCCGACAAGGAAAAGAGCAATGGTGATTCGATTGGGCATCATGATCAAAATAACTACAATTGTACTAGGGCAGGAGAAGAAAAAGCAATATTGCATCGTTCTCGCGCTTTAGCATCCACTAACAAACAAATTCGAACAGGGCATTTAGTTTAATTCACAACACGCGGGACTAGACTAAGCGATCTCGAACATCGTTTTAACTTGCAACTGTAACAATGTACTCATTGACATAAAGGTTCAGTAAATGATATCTCCCACCTAGCTCCTGAATTCGGCAGACAATAAAAGATAGGAAATGGGCCTAAAGGTCAATCCATTCTTCCCTTCAAGATCCTTTCCTTTACTTCAGTTGGCGTGCTGCATGTGTGAATCAAAAGACCAATCAGCCAATGCCAAGTAATACTAAAATGAATGAACAAAGAAACACAAAAACTTGAACAGAATATAAATATGAGGATACCAAAAGCCCCAGTCTCAAGGGACAAAAATCAGAAATATGCAAACCACATGAAGGAATAATAATGAAAATACATAACTTTACTTGAGCACAATCACCCCTTTCAAAATAAAATAAAATGGATCTACCAGTAAACCACGATACTGATTAGTCGTAAATTCATTAAAGTTCATTTCTTTGAAAATTTATCACAAGTTAATCCTAATAATTCTTTCAAAAATAAATTTCGATTATTTATCCGTGGCATTTTCCATCACTGTGATTTCAGTGATCTATCATCCAATAAGATGGATCCATGCAGTAAAAGGCCCCAACTTTCACCCTGATTTGTGCTGCAGAGCACAGATAATCATTATAAAGTCACAAGGTGGATGCCACTAAGACAGCTTAATTTCCCCTAAAACGAAAATAATTAAAGCAGCTTACTATCCAACCGGTTGTTTGCACGTAAAAGCAAAAGGAGGAATAATTGCACAACATAAAAGTATATGGCCAGCTACTAAAAGAAAAGAAGAACCATAAGCTTACACAACATAGACATGTCCACCCCAGCCACTTAGACAGTCACGATCAACAGATGAAAGCAGTGCTTGGGAGATGGTCTCAAATAATTCCTCTGCTTCCTGAGACACCCAAGGAAATATGATTAATAAAAAATGAGCTGTATCCTACGTTAGGAATCGTCCACATTAAAACTCGGTAGTTGTTGCTAATATTGGTTTGAAGATGCTTATAGGCTGTTCATTTTATAGCAAGTAGTGACACATATAGATGATGCACCAAATTTTCAAAAAACCATGCAAAAATTAAATCAGGTTAAAGTTAGGGACAAACCATGTTAGGCTTAAACATTGACTCACAAGCACCATATAGAGACTCGGACGCAGTGCCTGCAACAACAAAATCTTTTGCAAGTTCCCTGTATACAAGAAAAGCACAAAGATGACATTATCACAAACATATGGCTCACGAGAAAGAATATGACTTCCATATTATTGAAAAATAGCCAAATCCTAAGGCGTTTTGTGGTTCTAACACCTTTTGCCTTTAGTCACTTTTTAACATAGTAAAATCCCTTGTAAAGAAATACGAACGTATGATTATAAGAAGAGCTAGTTTGCAATTATAAGCTTTAACTCATTAAAATTTCCCTTAAAAATGGCCACAGATTATAAGAAAGAGTCAACTCACTTTGCTCCAATTGAGTCCATTGTGCAAATGAAAGGTCTCTCATCATCTCCTAATCCAGCAATTACAGGCTGGCAGAAGTATGGACCAAACCTAGAAAGCAAAAGATGCATTAACATTTCATTCCAAATTAAATAAATTTGCAAAATCATACAATCTTATAACTGATTCGGATGATAGCAGTCGCACTTGTAATATTGGGTTGCATATAATTCACCAGCAAAATGTTATAAATTATCTACACCTATTCCTCAACTTCATCGATCTAATATAGCAATAATTTTCTTAATAAAATGAACCTCGTTTTTATATTTTTGTTTTAGTCATCAATTGACTATTCTAAAACTGCTATTTTAACTTCCGGAAGAATTTCATTCTGATTTTGTACTTCGTTCTCTTGAACAGCCTCTGTGAATTATGGAGAAAAGATAGCAAAGTCAGGGTGGATGGGCAGGGCAAAAAAGTTTAAACTGTCCCATTTTAGGCTGCTGGTTAAGCTCCACAAGCATAAAATCCTCTCTAGACCAAAAGGAATTGCGTAAAGTCCACAAATGACAAGTCCCATGATATTCTTGTTATACTAGAGCTTGCTAGGCCTATCAATTGGGAAAATGCATATAACTTTACGTGAGGAAATGGTTATAGTTATCAGGACCATTTGAACACTCGAGCCAGTGGCTCCAGACACCCCCCCCCCCCAAAGGAGTTCTGGTATAGCACAACAGCAGTTAGAGGCCACAGGCGTCCAGATTAGATTGCAAGGCCTCTCCATGCATTTTGTTTCCTTAGTACAATGGTTCTTTACCACGCCCCTATTTTTGTTCTTTTTATTATTAGCGTCAATCAATGTCACCGCCCATCTAAATTATATCTCAACTAATTATGCATGGCTGATCACAATGTACCGATTTCTTGTCATTTTTGTCCTCAACGTGGATTTTGATTGAAAATTTCAGAACACCGATAATCTGTGAGCAATTGATTTCACTTTCATCCATGACAATTTTGGTTGACTTCAGGTTGGAATATTCCTAGTCAAATGCACAGAGCCCCCTTCTTCACCTGATCTCTTAGCAAAGCATACACCATAAGCAGGAGTACAGTACTTGAAAGCTCACCAATTACATCAAACCACTTGGTTCAGTTAATCTTGCCCCAACGGTTTTAAGTTTACAATGTCATGATCAAGAAATATGTAGAACAATATGGCAGACGCATAAAAAACCAATGTTCAACGATTTCGGCCAGATAGATGGGGTCTTCATATTTTCGCTTTACGAAACAGTGAATGAGAAATTGCCGTGTTTTAGTTCGAAAAGAAAGGATGATGGCGTCTTAATAAAATTTCAGCACGAACTTCCTAATTTTTAATTGTGAATCATTGTGAACTTACAAGTTTCCACAAAGAGCATATAGCAATAATTAGTGAAGGCAGGGGCAGAATTCTGATCCCATAAGATATGATAAAATCTGCATACCTTTTCTCGTATAGAATAGCAGAGACTAAGCTGGCAAATGTCTCGGGCTTCATATCCCTTTCTTCTCGAAGCTGGTATAATTTGTGCCGGAACACGAGCCGTTGATAGCTTAAAGTAAAGGAACAACGATAAGAAATCAAGAAAAGAAGCTGAACCTAGAGCAATTGGGGAGATTGACAGAGAGTGATAGTATTCCTACAGTGTCTGGGCATCAGTGGCGAGGCCAGCAAGACCAATAAAAAGCTTGTCGTGGATCTTGTATATCCTCTGGAAATCGGTGGCGATAGTCTGAAGCTGAACACCAAGCCTCCGATCGCTGGCGATGGCAAAACAGTTCTTACCCACCATAGCCACTAGGGCACTTCCATTGTACTCGAAGATCGACATCTTCCCGAGAGTCCCTTTTGATTTCGGGTTTACTTTTGACGGCAATCTAAGAGAGAGCGAGAGACGTTCCCCGTTAAATTTGCAGCGAACGCATATGAAGGCTGGCTTGGACACCACTCCAGCTCCCTCGTGACCAGGGCGTGGGAGCAACATGAATGGGCCTGCTCTATCTCTCTTGGGCTATAAAGGGCTTTGCTTTTTTAAGACTTTTACTTGAAAGATATATCCATGAATAGGCCTAACGAGCCCATGACCCGGACTTCAGTCCTAAATTTGGGCCCATACATGTAAAATCACACGATAACTAGCATGGCATATAATAAATCAGGAATACCGAGATTGCATAGTTCATTTAACAACTTAACTCTCGTTTACCCCAAAAAAAAAAAAACTTAACTCTCGTCTTTCTTTTTTTTTTTTAAAATTATTTTGCTTTACAATTTTATTTTATTTCAGTACTGAAATCCTGCATTTTATCTTTAGATTCTTTAGGCCTGATAGATAACTAAGATTTTAATGCAAACAAGCAAAAAAAATTTTTTTGCCGAAAGTAAAAATTAAATATTTAATGAATAGGGCAAAAATATTATTCTATGTAGACCAGCGGATTTTGGGGGGTTTTTTTTTTTTTTTTGGTTTGGACTGGGGATTTTGAGATTGAATAACGTAGAACCATAATGAGAATTGACTCTAGAGAAAAAAGCTAGTTGGTGGCGAATTAAGGTTTGCATTTCTAAAAGGTGCATTTAGTCAGCATTTTTACGCCGGTAATGATAATGGTAATCCCTGGGACGATGCCGCGGCCACCGTGTGAGTCTTATACCTCCGTCGTACATCTGCATCGTCTTTCTGTTTTTCCCGTCCGCCATCGTCCTTCTTTTCAGATTTGCTTAGACGTGAATTGTTTCCAGATTTGTTTAGATCTGATCTGGTTTTAGGCTTGTATATACTCCTCCGGTC